GGGGGGGGGGGGGGGGGGGTACGGATGGAGGGCAAAGAACCAACCAGAGGAGAGGCGGGGAAGTGTACGGACGTAGGGGAAACAATCAGGGCATCAAATTCAACTGCACGGTACACGCCCACCTCAAACATGTTCCGTCCTTTGGCTGCCTTGAGGTCCGGGTGCTCTCTCAACTGGACGATGGACAAGGAAACCCGAGAGAAGAAACACGCACGGGAGAGCGAGCGGGCTGAGAGCGTGAGGGACTGCCTACGCAAAGAGAGTAAGCCTGTTGCGAAAAAAGACCAGGCATGGGGGGCACGCAGACCCTAACCCCAACCCCAACCCCGACCTATCCGATTCTAAACTTTATCCAGCATTTTTGCTGACTTACGTAGAAAGAAAAACCTGCGCAGACTACTGCTGTGCGTGAGAGAACAGATATACTTCGAGGTAGCACCACTAGAAACAGTAGGAGTAAATCAACGAAGTCAACGCGTGAAAAATGGTTTAGGGTCGCGTGTGCTGATGAACGGAATCGATCTGTTGGAGAAACCGTCTCTTCAGAAGATAGCAGCGGCCGGCCGCCCACAAACCACACATGCATTTTACCCCCACAAGTTTCTTGATGGGGCGGGCACACCGAGCAGCTGCGGGAAAACACAAAAGGCTCGACCTTGGGGACACACCCACAAGAGTACTGGAAACACGCACACAAAATCAGGTGCATATCATGTACATCATGCTCGACTTTTGGACACACGCACGAAGTGCTGGAACCATACCGTTCGTGACACAAGATACCGCATACCCCGGATCGATTCGATTTTTCAAACCTCGATAAATCCACGACGAAGAGGATGCACAAATCGTGTGACACGTTTTCGGCAAGCTCTCGACGAGATGGTCCCAACGCCACCACTCTCGGCACCGCGCGATTTTTTCGCTTTTTGGAGTAATTGAGCTTTGAACATCGTTCCGCGGGGCGTGTTATCTTGTGTCGTGTCACCTACGGTAAAAAAAAAAAAAAGTTATTCCCGGGAACTCTCCAGTCCGGCCTTGACGCAAGACACCCAACAACAACAACAACAACAACAACAAAAGGCGACCACGGCCATAACGACCTACACCAACAACAACGACAACAACAACAACAACAAAAGGAGACCACGGCCATAACGACCTACACCAACAACAACGACAACAACAACAACAACAAAAGGAGACCACGGCCATAACGACCTACACCAACAACAACAACGACAACAACAACAACAACAAAAGGAGACCACGGCCATAACGACCTACACCAACAACAGGCTATCCACCAATAGCGGTGCTTGTGTGCACCATACAGCAGTACCTGTACCAAAACGATAGCGTTCCATCGACAGCAGGAAACAGGCCGCACATCTATTGCCTATCTACCTGTATATATAGTTTCGTTCTAAATAGAAAGGTTTACCCCTCTTTGGGTAGTTGGCTTGTGACCACGGAAGCCGTCCGTGTCAGTTGGACCAGAGTACGGATATTAGATGGTACCGAGCGGAGACCGGAACGGTTTTTTAACGTGAAGACAACAATAACAACAACAACAACAACAACAGCATACCTGAACGAAGAGAGCAAGTGCTGCCATCAGGAGCAGGAAGCAGCTCCAAACTTTCAGCGCGTTCCGGAGACCCCAGCCGATAGCCGAGCTCGCGGCCGCTCCCGCCCCTCGCTGGTGCCCGAACCTCCTGGTGCCGCTCGCTCGTCGCGCCTTGGCGAACAGCTTGGGGTTTCTCGATCTCGCCGCCGGCCCCGGCATGGCCATGCCTCCTGTGTAATCGCAGCAGCAATCAATCGTGAACCTTTTGAGAGAACATGCCTCCTGTGTAATCGTGAATCTTTTGAGGAGATGGTGCGCAAATGACTATGATTATAAACACTTCGCAGCAACCAATCGCGAACCTTTTGAGAGAACATGCCTCCTGTGTAATCGCAGCAGCAATCAATTATGAATCTTTTGAGAACATGCCTCCTGTGTAATCGCAGCAGCAATCAATCGTGAATCGTTTGAGAACATGCCTCCTGTGTAATCGTAGCAGCAATCAATCGTGAACCTTTTGAGAGAACATGCCTCCTGTGTAATCGCAGCAGCAATCAATCGTGAATCTTTTGGGGAGATGGTGTGCTAAAGTGATTATGATTATAAACACTCGCAGCAATCAATCGTGAATCTTTTGAGAGAACATGCCTCCTGTGTAATCGCAGCAGCAATCAATCATGAATCCTTTGAGAACATGCCTCCTGCCTATTCGTGAATCTTTTGAGAACATGCCTCCTGTGTAATCGTGAATATTTAGAGAGAACATGCCTCCTGTGTAGTCGCAGCAGCAATCAATCGTGAATCTTTTGAGGAGATGGATGCGCTGAAATGATTATGATTATAAACACTCGCAGCAATCAATCGTGAATCCTTGAAAAACACGTTGTGCAAATGGCTATAGACAGGGAGGAGGATCAAAACACAAGAGGTACAGCAAAACACAAGAGCATAATAACACAGCACGAGTGGGAGAGGAGCGGGAGCGGGGGAGGCGGGGAGGTCGAGCGCAGAGAACAGACACGGACGGTACGGACGGTAGATGGCAGAGGCATAGATACTGAAAAAATGTAGGTTAAATTACCTACACAGATGTTTTTGTACGTAGCACCAGCTGGTATCACTGACATAAATAATCAGTGTATAGACTTCAATAGACTCGGAATAAGTCCAGTATCCCGCCGGTTTTCCTTCACTTACTGAAAAGACTTCACCTCATCCTGTTCGACTGTGGCTATGTGGCTATATCTCGAATGGGTATTGTAGTCTTTCTGTGTGTATTTATTTTTCCTAAACAGATACCACCCACGCGGTGAGATACTTTGCCCGGTTCAAGATGTGGAGCGGCGATGCATGAGGAATAGTCAAGGGTATCGAATCGCTGCTAATGATGATCTGGGTGCAAACTCCGTCCCTCTCATCGCTGTAACTACTGCTTGTACCATAGAGTACGTTATGGAGTCCCCCACCCACGATAACACCACATGAGTTCTCGTGGAACCACACGTGTTGATACATGTACACACGCGCTTCTGCACGCTTGAACGCGTTTGACAGAGTGAATCAAACCGAAACAGCGGTGGCGAAGATGGGGAAGCCGCGTTGAACAACAAAAAATATATGCTGTAGTCCAAGCGGCATCTCATCGGGTGGTGTAGGTGTAGGTGTGCGTGTGTATCTAGTCTATAGAGCAACTGACGGCATTGACGTTGACTTCCACAGTATGTTCGGTGGTACGTACTTATCTAGTCTAGAGCAACTAACGGCCGTGACGTTGACAAATCACACTTCTATGTCTCATCGTACATACATCAAACCGAGGATAGAGCTGCCGAAATATATCTTGTCTTCCGTCCTTGTGCTTCGAGGTCAGGCTCGGGCGTCGATGCCCATCGCCCTCAAGCTATGCGTATCTCGAACAGCTCAAAATCTAGACGAAACCTATGCAATGTAGCGGCCATTTTTTGGCATACATTCCCAGCCCCGGGCAACACCAACCCAACGGCCGGCCTCAGCACTGCTTATCTACACGCTACCACCTCTCTCCGCTTGTGATTACCGATGTTCCGTCGTCACAGAGCTCAAGCGACTTTCCCGGAGGGTACATGTATGCAATACGACGTCTGCGCCTGTGCTGCTGTACCGAAGCGGAGCAAATTATCACGTCCTCAAGAAGCCTAACGCTTCATTCAGATGCAACAGCAACATCCATCCGTCTGCTGCCGTGCTTGCCGTCCGTATGCCGTGATTTCCATTACTCTGCTGCTGTACTGCAGTACTCGTTTCCCGATTCCCCGGATATTTGTCGAATTGGTCGTGCGCCGCCTCGTGGGAAAGGGCTCGCCGTGAGCCAGCCAGCACATGGCGCGCTCGCTCGAACGGACGTTTTCGGCCTTGGCTGGCGGCGAGCATACTTTTCGCTCATCGGAAAGCTTACACCGTCCGACAAGACGAGGAGAGCCAGAGCGGGAAATGAGCCGGTCGAAGAAGAAAGCCAGGAGAAACGAAGAGGCACGTCATGCGGCAAGTGATAGGGGAGAAAAAAGCCTGCCCGATGACCGATGATGCGTAAAAACACTTCTTCGCATCGAAAGCTTAATAGTTAGAAGAGTGAGACTGCCGTGTGTGTGGTTGACGTTGGTGATGATGTCGAGTTGGACGTCGAATACAAAAGCACTCTGATGTTCTGTGGATCTGTTTCCTGCTTTGTGCAACAACGTCTCTCCCCTTCGCGTGCCTTGCGTGCAAATTCGCTCCGTCGGTATTTTCCCTGCAAAGAGTCGCCTTCGACGATGTGATTGTTGAAAAACACGAATGTGAGATTCTTTTTCTGGTGTGTAATTTTTCTGGTATTTGCTTTGCTGTTCCTTGTGGTTTGAGCTGGTACGCAGGCAGTCCACGAGACTCGATGTTGCTTGTTCGGTCCCCAAAATGCTCATCTCAACAACTATTTAGTCGTCGGGTCGATGCACGAGGCGTCCTTGCATGATTGAATTCTGGTGGTGGTGTGGCATCCTGTTGTCTCATTTTGAGGATTGATAATCAGCGGGGAACCGCTATCACGCCAATTTGATTGATGATATCGAAATTGTTTTTCAGGTCGAGTTTGTTCCGGCAGGTGGAAGAAGACCCATACCGTTGCATACAGACTTGGGGCAGAATTATTTGCTCTGAAATCAGGGAGAATTGACGTAGGAATGAATCTGCGACCCCTTTTTCGTGGTGGATGGCGACCAGCGTCTCTCATTAGTACAGGTCGCCATCCCAAAGTAGCGTCTAAGTTAATGGCGGTTAACGTGAACCGTACGTTTCAGCAGTACGTGCGGCCGCGCCTGCCGTTGCCTACGGGCAACACGTGGACAGCCCTTGCCACGTTGGTCGGTCGGTTGCGACACGTGCTTGTTGGTGCCGTGGTCAATGCGGGTGCAAATGTCCGGAAGTGTTTGCGTTCTCAAAGGAAAGGTCGTTGCGCTTTATTTCTAGGATAGGGGGGTCAATATTCGTTGTGGTTCCACCGATTTCGGGCGAGAAGCTTTTGAAGCTCTTTTGTCGACGCGATGATATCGTTCTCATGGTACTTCATTCTTTGGTGAACTTTGGAGTCCCAGGGTAGGCAATACAGCAAGGTTCGTCCGCTTTTCTTTTTCCCCTAAGACCTCAAAAGATCTGCTCTCCTGATATAAATATTCCGCTATTTAGAAAGCTGAAACTAAAATGTGTTGTGTATATGCCAATGTGCTGTGTCTATGTCGGTGCTGTGTATATGTGAAAAATTTAGCTTCAGCCTTGCGTTTGGAGAGCGCGCGTAGAAGCAACGCGTGGGGAGAAAAATTGTCAATGGATCTTTGATGCAATGTCTCGGGGTGGATTTCATAGCTTCATTAAGCTGGGGTTTGATTTACAACCTAACGTGAAGCGGTTGGTTTTGTTGTTGGAAGTCCTCTTTGGGGTCGGCGTGCACCGTTGGGGGGCACCGATTTCAATAGTCAAATGTCTGGTTGAGGGGGGTTCACATGGGTTCGTTGCCGTCTTTCTGAGGGGTGCGTTCAGCGTCCTTCTTGCCGGCTCCAAAAATACAAAAATGCTTTCGCTCGGCAACATACGTAGTCGATCAGGTACAGTATTAGCAAGTCAGGTAAAGGTTGTTGGGCCGGGATTTTTTGGGGTTGGTGCCGCTTGTCGTTTCCAAAACACGGCAGCCCGGCACGGGGCAAATTGGGTTCTTGACGACAGACAGTGTAGTATGAACAATTTTCGTGGAATTTGTGTATGGTGGTTTGTGCGGGGGTTCTTGGGCCTGAGGGGATGATGAAGGCTTATTCTCGTGGGGATAAAAAAGGGTCCCCGCCAAGGATAGATCGAATTCCATGGGTTTTTGAGTATTGCTGTTTCGCCATTGTCGAGAAGGATATATACAGCAGTACGTGTTGGAAATTTTGTCGCAAGTTAAGACCTGCTGCGAGCGATAATATACCAGTTTCAGTACGGAAATAGTACTTGAATGCCATTTTCTCTCGGAGGAAATCATGACGTTGTGGGTTACTTTTTGGACAGAGTGAAGAATTTCCATGATGCCAAAAAGCAGTGTGGGGGAATGTCGTACGAAGTAGGCTCGTTTCAGGGGATGTTTGGGCTGTGTTCCCGGTTTGCGGCGCAATTGACATGTTTGGTCTTTGAATGTTTGGGTAGCAGCGCTGCCGCGCACGAGTTCAGAAGAGAGAGTCACCCAGGGCAAGGAGCAGAAGGCGAGCTTGAGTGCCCGGTTACCAGAGTGTTGTCAGAGTTCGAAGCGGTGGTAGATGGATACAGCACGTGAGTGCAGGATTTCGGTTGAGCAGCAGCAGCAGTGTTGACTGACCGGAGTTGAGTGCAGCAGCAAAGTGAGAACTAACGACGAAGTTTCCTTTTTCCCATCAGCTGTCTTTGATCTACACGCCTCGGCGACACCCGTTCGAGACCTACCTAAGAGCATATCCACAGACAACAACCTCGAACCAGCATCTAGAACCGGATAGTGTAGAGCTACAGCGCTCTGCATTACATTGGGTTATCGGGTCATCAGCAGAAGAACCCGAAGCCAAGTAGTCTAGGGCCAACACTTCCACCCTTGCCTAGACACAGGTTTGAGAGCCTGAATTATGGTCTACCAAACGTCTCAACCCCCCTGAGATTGCAGGCCACGCGGAAAATTGGGTTCTGCTCAGAACGGCACGGCTAACAGCACCACACTATGTGGTGCCGCTGTTTTAGCAGCTCTCTGCCCGGTCTCTCTGCATGGCGGAGAGACCAAAGCCCTGCTGCGGAGTGGATGCGGCACGATACCACAATGGAACAATCCAACAATATCTCGTTCGTACGGTAGCACGGTAGTACATAGTAGTAGTGCAAGGCCATGGAGGGAAAGCTCGAGAAGTTCAGCACATATGTAACGACACTCTGCAACACCGCATGCGCTCAGCACACCGACCAACCTCCTGCGTGACGGCTCGGCCAAAGAGGACACACCCGAGCAGAGCAGGAAACTGCTCACCTGCTAATGCTGAATGCTGGTTCAAGGGGCAGTAAGAACCAAGACTCCCTGTGCCCGATTATTCTCCGACTGGAGAGAGAACCACAGGCAACCAGGCCTCTTGAAGAACCTATCGTTGCAAGCAAAGGCAGTAGTCGCAGCGTAGGCCACAGGTGTAGCGCTTCACAAGCGCTCAGTCTGCAGCTGACAGTGGCTGCTCCAGCACAGAGTGACAATGGTTGGTACGCGAAACAAGCGGGGGGGGGTGTCAACAACCGCGGAACCCCCAAGGTTCGCTGATTGCTGATTGGGTCTTCTCCTGCGGCAGTGACTCGTTCAACTGCAGTACAGAAGGTACTGGGTAGAGAGAGATCGGAACGGTTTTTAATGTGAAGACAACAACAAGTACAGGGCCTGCTGACTTGTGCTGGAAGGACGACACCACAATTGTGCGGACCCGGAACGAATCCCATCTGGATCCGGATCGATCACATCTGGACGTGAATATCTAGTGAACATACTGCACGTATGTATGCATGTGCGTAGCGTATTTTCTTATAACATGCACACAACCATCAATTACATCGCGAATCCAACGTCTCACGCGGTAGGCACCAGTCGTGAAGGCACTACAATCTCTCGAACTCTTTTTCACAGCAGAAACCAGGGGGGAGGAAACGAAGCAGCTACCCAGGAATAACATACCGTATATGACACAAGATAACACACCCCCTTGGCCGATTTTCAAAGCTCGATTTCTCAACAGCAGGAAGAGTCACAGCGCCGAAAACGGCGGCGTTGGAACCGTCTCGTCGAGAGCTGTTCGAAAACGTATTGTTTCATTTATGCATCCTCTTCGTCGTGGAGTAATCGAGCTTTGAAAATCGGTCCAGGGGGTGTGTTATCTTGTGTCATATACGGTATACCACGTACGTGCTCGTTTTCAGGCGGGGTGGAAAAACGGTTCATCACGCGAGAAATATGTATATATACAGAACGCGCCACCACTTAAGAACTTAGCAGTTAAGAACCTGAGCCTCAAACAATTCAAAATCTAAGAACTTGGCCATAAGAACATATGCTCAGTTCCGACGTTGTATTAAGAACAAGAACCCGCCCGGTGTACCAACGCGCATACAGATAAGAACGGAGCCCCAAAACGCGGCGGCTGCAAGATAAGAACTCATGAGGCTGGGGGTGACCCAAACAGTTAGTTTCTGATTCGAGGCGGGGGGGGGGGGGGAGAAAAGACCTCCTGATGAATTCTTGTACGCGCGGAGGGGGAGGGCGTACGCTCTTCTCATGTTTCGCATGCCTTAGCGGTAGGACAATTGACCAACGTCTTCGAGAGGACGCATCCATGTTCCAACAGGATCACTGATGCCAATCGTTCCTTCCCACTTCGAAGTACTTTGTCAAACGTGGCCAAACCATGTTCTCCCTAGCCGATCTACCCTATATCGATATCATCACTTCCCGCCTTTTCAACCCACTTCCTATGCCCCAGTACAGCTACCACCGTTTTCTCCTGGCTATTCCATGCCTCAAACACCTCCCTGTACCTTTTCTTCTACATGTCCAACTCAGTCATGTACATTTCTCTGTCCTTGTCGCCCAACACGGACGTTTCGCAACGACATGAACCCGATCTTCGCTCTCGGAGTCGCATTCACATTGAACTCATCTTCATCGTCTACCTTCCTGAATCTTCGTCAATGTTCTCGAAGGCCGTTTTCCCCACTCCAAAATTTGACCTTCGGCTTTCTCCCTGCATCCATTGGTCCATGTAGTAGGTACCTATACCTTCTTTCAACATCCGCACACATGGAGACCCTCCTTATCCTTGGATCCTTTTGTTTTATGGTGTTCTCTCTCGGCGAAAGAAGCAGATTTCTTGTTCTCGAACCCCTCTAGATCTACCGTTCGTTTCCAATGTACCAGCCTAATCGATTTTGAACTCTTCCTATTCCGTCTACAACCTTAATCCACTCCCTCCGGGTCGGTACCTCCATTTTTCTTGTTTGTCCACTTCGCCTCCCAGGCTTCTCTCGGCAATCTCTCCTCTCCCACATCGTACGACGTACGGCCTACCTGCCATTTTAACCTACTTACGCCTCTTCCCGATCGTAGGAGTTGGATCCGAAGGGGGGTGTACTCTCTCTCATGTTTTGGCAGCCTTACTTAGCGGTTAGACCGTTGACCACGCGTCCTCGACAGGACGGAGCATTGTTCCCACAGGTTCGATCACCGATGGCCAATCGTTCCTTCCTACGTTGCCAAAACGGTCGCTCAAACATGTTTTCCAATCGGTATCGCTTTCCGCTTTATTTTCCAACCCATTTCCTATGTCCCAGTACAGCTACCGTCTTCTCCTGGCTATTTACATTCGTCAATTGTCTTTCTTTCTGTGCTTTTCCCTTCTGGTACTTTTTTTCCAGCTAGCTCACTCATGTACATTTCCCTCTCCTTCTTGTACCACGGACATTCTACAAGTACATGAAGATGGTCTTCGCCCTCGGAGCGGCAATCACACCTGGGTTTGTCGTCCTCATCGTCTACCTTCCTCAATCTTCGTCTACGTTCTCAAAGGCCAACATCCCCAGTCCTAGGTTTGACCTTCAGCTTTGTCTCTGCATCCATTGGCCCTCCATGTAGGTAATCTTTAAATATATTCCTTGTTTGATATTCCGTACACATCGAGATCCTCCGTGCCCTTGGTTTCTTTGGTTTGATCCTGTCCTTCTCTCTCGCCAAAGCAACAACAGATATCTTCTCCTTGAACCCCTCTAGACTTCCCCTCTCCAATGTATCACCTTTGTCAAGTTGGACCCCCTTCCATGCGTCATCTACAACATTAACTCCCTCCGTAGGTTGGTACACCAATTCTTCTTGTTTGTCCACTTCGCCTCCTAAGCCTTTCTCGGCAACCTCACCTCTCCCATACCGTACATGCGGCACTGCCACCTAGGGGGCGATTTTACGGCTACATTGTACTCTTACAGCAGTAGTGTCTCGCGATGAAATCCACGCAGAAAGACCTGTCTGTGTCCTCTGCATATGGCAATCGGTATAGAAATAAGAACAAGAACCTCGTTTACCATAGGTGGATACCTGCTCCAAATAAGAACTTGGAAAATAAGAACATGTGCTCGGTTGGAGGCAACCAATAAGCGTCGAGCCTCAAGCTAAATAAGCGGTTCTCAAGTGGTGGCGCGTTCTGTATGCAGATAATAATGTGACGGAGAAAGAACAACGGAAGGATGACAAAGAAAAATTCCGTTGTATATTGGTACGTAGGTTGACGCTGGGGAGTACCCACAGCCACCCCGCGTCTCCCAAAAAAAATTTGTCCGTGTGTTGTTATGTGGGTGGTGAGGATCGCGCTCTCAGGAACATTCCCTTCCAGAGTGTTGTTGCAGGCACGGCGGCCAACTGCAAAACACCGACATAACGCAAGAGGAATGACCACAACAACACCAAAAAAACCGTCGGTCGCTAATACCACCGCGGCGGGGTCCAGTCAATGGCATATCACGACAAATCATGCTTAGATGTAGATCGATCCATTCCAGAGTCATGACGACATCGCATGGACGTACAGTAATCCTGACAGCCGTTATAGGCCACCAACTTCGAGAAGAAACCCCCAAGCGAACCAAATGTCGAGTAGCTTAGTTAGCGCCCGTCGGGAGGTCTTCGCCCCATCCAAGAACAAGAAGAGGAGATTGTGGAACACCACGATGACAATAAACTCTCGGTGACTACTTTGTTTGCTGCATAGTCCTGCACATACTCCTGCTTTCTATTATTTTTCTAGTGGCCTCGATTGGCCGAAAAAACGGCGGCAGTCCAACATGGTCGGGAGCTATACCGCAGCCCACAGGGTGCTTCGATTCATCGTGGAGCACATGAAGTCATACCGCAGCCTAGAGGGTGCCTCGATTTACCATGGGGCAACATGAAGTCGGAAGTAGCTGCTGCCCTCCGTCGCTGAACTTCGATTTTTTTTTTGGTCGACAGAAATGACGACTCTCTAACCCCCTAGCTGTCTAACCGTGTTAATCACCCCTTCTAAGTCTACGCTATTTGATCGACTACAGTTTGTGCCACCACTGCTGTTTGCACCACATCTATGCAGTCCTGCTCCGCCGACGCCACCGTTTACAGCAAGAACCTTAACCTTCGGGAGACTCCAAAAAGTATCTCGGGGATTTCTTCCGAATAACTTCTTCTACACAGGCTGCAGCTTGTTTTGGATGGTAGGAGCTAAGTCCTAAAAACTTGTGCATACCTACCTACATCCCAAAGAACCTCCAGATCTCTCTCTGTCTCTCTTGACACTTGTCGCTACGCAGAGGAATTCCAGGGCAGATTCGCACACCAGAATGTCCTCCAACTTTCGAACACGATCCAAGCATCGATTCCAAAACATAAACTATAGACCGGTACACACATGTGTACGCATCTGTCCTTACGCTGTAGACGCTGCTAGACACGTCACTATTGGCCTTTACGCACGAGCAAGGAAGGGGGGACACGGTCCTGTCTTTTGAAAAATCGATGACAGCGGTCTATCCATCCAGATCCGACAACATCTCATTGGTGAGCGTCTCCACCGTCTCCCGGACCTTCGGGTCGCCGAAGAGATTCAGCTGGTTCAGGTAGTGGTACAGCTTGTACAGCTTCTGTCTTCGCTCGAAGCCCTCCGCCTTCGGGATCTGTTTCCGCGTGCAAAGAGGACGAGAAGGGAGAGGGGGGCCACTTCAGGTTGTTGCGTTGTGGCACGCTTTCTCGTCGAGGCACGCCAATAGTGCGGTACTATTCCTCAACTAAACTTTGAACCTTCACCAAGCAAAACATAAATATCATGAGTCTACCTCCACACGCCTCCTTTGAAATCAAGGTAAAAAAGCACACCATTCTAAATTCAAGTCACAAGAGCCGAAACGGCAGGCGCTCAAAGAAGGTCGGTTTTAGCAATCTAACGACACCCGAGTACTGATATCACTCGAGGACACGCTAAAGCAGCGGTGTGTGTGTGTGGGCGCATTCAAATCGCTTCTTGGGTGGTGATATCGAGGGTCGAAGCCTCCAATCTCCGCAATCTCCGCAAAGTAGACCGACACCCCGTGTCTTGTACTTCGAGTACTGCTTGTGCTCGCCGCCACGGACCGTAAACCCCTGAACGGTGGGTCGTCAGCAAGTGTTGCTGTAAACCCGCAGTTCAGGAGATTAGGGTCAGTGGCGGCGAGAACAAGAAGTACAAGACACCGGGTGTCGGTCCAATTTGGTCTAACTTGCAGACATGTAAACACACTCAAAACCTTCAAAACAAATGCAGACGAAAAAAGAAAAAAAGGTGGAACAAAAACAAACAACTTCAGGCGCCCCTAACTATGGTAGCACAGGAGTTCGATGTAGCATAAAGAGGGTGAAGTAAACGCTGTGCGCGTGGGTACGAAACGGCAGGTACGTTTTGCGAAGAAGGAAGGACCTACCCGCCAAGAAGAGAAAGAGTAATGTAACGTGACGTTCCTCGCCGGGAGCTCGTCCAATGAGACTCGCGTATATTATAGATTCTCCGGGATGCAGGCGGGAAGTGCCCGATTGGGGGGTACTTCGCGGTGGTGCAACAGTAGAGGCGTGCGAGCGCCGAGCACCGCGACAGGGAGGTCGTCGCGGAAAGATTTTGCTCTGGTCGACACCGCAAAAGAGCTTAACAAGTCAATCGGGGTTATTGCGCGGGCCAGACGTGCAGGACCGATGTTAACGTCTTGAATTGAGGGGGGGGTCTAATCTCCCCCGCTTCGCTCACAGCGCTCAAGGCCGAGCACTCTAACTTTAGCATAATTTTTTAAAGGTTCAAACAAGCATAATTATATAGAGGTCTATGTGTACCTTGTCGTGGTACGCAGTCCAAAACGGCTCCTGGAACCCCCCAAACATTTCCATGATGGCCAGCTCGAACTCGGAGTGGCCGAAGAAACTCGCCGGGTCGAACATACACGGCCCCTCGATGGTAGCCCCCGTGTTCCCTGCTCAGAAAAAAAGCCAAACAACGGAGGGGTACGCATGTAACCGCATGCCTTTAGACCATTGGCCTCGCACCCCTAGAATACGATGCCGGGACGGAGCGACATGCCGGGTTTTCGCCGGTCTAGTCTACGTTTCACAAGGGTGAACCAGAAGCTGGTAGTGTCATCATCCTTGCGACGACGACGACGACAATGACGACGGGGGGGTAAAGTAAGGGAGGGGCCAGGACTACTGTACCTCATACACCCATGTGAGAAACCACTACGATCATCCCGGTGCTTCCTGCGCCGGAGAGCAAGGGGAGACGAGGACAACGCCTGCCTCATACATCAGGCCTCGTATGTATGCACACACCTATCCACAGGTCCCCGTGTAGAAGTGAAGGCGTCACGGTGGCTCCCTCCAGAATGTCGCCCACCCTCCCCTCCACCGCTCTGAATCGCTTCAACACGTCAGCCGTGTCGGGCTCCCCCTCTACCAGCGCGGCTCGGCCGTACGCCTTGTCCTGAGGGTCAGGTCAGGGTAGCAAGGGTTACAAGCGATAGGGGGCTGACGTTATAGGGGTTGGTGGTCAAGATCGAGCCCACTATTCGCCGGTGCTTGCGAAAAAAAAGTCGTCACTCGTATAGAAGTATGCCTTTTTTCGAGTCGCAGACAGGGTTGCGATTCGGGTTCGCGCAAGGGCTACATACGCCTATGGTAGCCACTTTGGCACGTGGCTTGGCTCTCAGCGGCGGCCATCGAAAAACCTCAACATTGATTCTTAATTTTATCACAGTACCTTGAGCAAGCCTTCGATCTGGTCCGACATGCGCCTCTTGAAGAACTCCGTCCATGTGTCGCACCACGCGTTGTTCAGGGGCGTCAGCGCCAGGAAATTGGACACCGGGAACCCGAACCTCCCCTGGTGCAATGCGTCGTGCTCCTGTGGCGTGGGGTGCATCGGTGCGATTTAGCGTGTGAAAACGGTGCCAGCAGGTGCAGCAGCAAACATGTGCCGCCGAGAGAGACAAAAAATGGTTCGAAACGAAACAGCTTGGCAAGGGGAATGACACCGCACGCCACTTGGCAGCGACGCACCCGCCTCCCTCCAGCGTGTTCTCTCCTCGCGAGGGCCCCCCTTCTCCCATCCCCGCTCCCCACCTACGAAACAACGTACCCCCATACAGGCCACACTTTACTCCCACATCACCACCACCACCACCAGCCGAATGGTGCTCCCCCCTCGAGGCTAGGTGAAATCGTGGAACCCCAGAACGCTCAGATTTTTTTCATCCTTCGTACTACGGGTGGGTAAGCACTGCACCGTACTGTACTTCACCGTATCGTTACCGTACCGTATCGCACCGTACCGCACCGTACCGTATCGTTACCGTACCGCATCGTACAGCACCGTACCGTACCATGCCATACCGTACCGTACCACACCATACCGTATCGTACCGTACCATACCTTGCTCAGGTGCAGGTCCGCCAAGCTGTTCCCCAGGGCGGCCTGGTTTCCGGGGCGCATGGGGCCGAAGGGAACGAGCGCCAGATGCTCGAGGATCATGAAGGCGCCAGGCCCGATTTCCCCGACCCTGTGGCAACCGTCCATGTGCCAGCCAGACACGAGTAGCAAGAACAAAAGAGAAGGCGTGGTTGAAAGGGGGCGGGTGGGGGGGGGGTGAGGCGGGGTGGCGGCCGGCGGCCGTGAGCGTGGGTAAGTGGGAATGAATTGAAAACGGGAAAAGATCAGCACGAAAGAGAGATGTTGTTTTTGTTCACCCCGTTCTGGAAGGAGCGGGTGGTGGCTCGCGCGCACCAAGGCGCGAGCACGTCCGTGCGGGCGGCAGGCAACAAGCAGGCCTGTCACATGTGTGAGATCCATGGGGGTGGGGTATCCACGGGTTTCTTGTAAGCAGGTATGGCGTGTGTGCAAGATTCCTGAAAAAGATCACACTAGATACCCTCTTCATGGTAGCAACCACCCCCCGCCCGCCAGAGGAGTCTATCCACCACACACACTAAGATAGGATAGCGGCCACCGTCATTCCGAGCCTGGAATAATACTGATCACCCCCCAACGACCGTCTAAATCATGCCAACACAAACACGGATGAGAGTAGGTATGTACGTGCACGTGTCCTCCGGTGAGTTTCTCCTCACTTTGGTAGCACCCCCAGGTGCAGCGGCTTGGGCACCTGCATCACATCTGCCTTCGCCAAAGCGCTCAAGCTCACGGCCTGCGCGTGCACGTGCATCGGCGTTGCCAGCACCAACCGGTTTCGATCCGGGACATTTTTCGTTGCGCGGCGGTTGGCACGGATGTTGGGGCGGGCGGATGGAAGCTGTCGAAAACCCCGCATACCACCAGCGGACTACAACAGGCTTTGTTGGATACCCGCCCCTACATGCCCATAAGCTACCGTGAGCAACGTGGCTACCTTGTAGCTGAGCGCGAAGTCAGTGGTTGGGCTTAGGTTAAGAACGATTGTGTTCGACGACTGAGAACATGCCACCAAACAGGGAATGGAGGTGGTGGATGTTGGTTTGGACACAGAGCAATGGAGGAACTAGAGGCAGTCAAGGTGGGTACCAATAGCGACACCCACCCACCGACCATCAACCTCTCATTTAGCTGCAGCACCCACACAACGCCTTGAAGGGGGGGTCAGCTGTACCACGTGATACCGACGGCACAGTTTGTCACGGCAAGGCGGTCAGAAAAGCCAAACGCGGACAGGTAGACAATAATACCCGGTCTAAGAAACAACAGAGCACGTGAGACAGATAAATACCCTATATCCGCGCACACAACACCCGACAAGCAAGAGGTGGTAGAAAAAAAAAAAAAAAAAACACGACGAGGAACATGCGGACAAGGGGTCGGTGGTAACGGCTCCGCACCTCTGTCATGAAGACGCTCATGTCTTCCACCCGGTTCATCTTAACAAAGAACGGCCCCCTGTCGGTGGTCCACCTCAAGGCCTCGTTGCCGTTCCATCGACTGTCTAGCAGCTCCCAGTCTGCACACCACGCGGTGCGGGGGGTGCGGACAAAAAAAGGGGGGGGGGGGGCGTTGCAGCCGGTGTACTCGGTCAACACTTGAATACACACATACGAAGTGAACACTTGAAACCGCACATACATGGATTGCGTATTTGGCATGTTTCGGTGTAGCGAGGTACATGGCGTGTTCATCCCGACCGAGCGGGACGGCGCGTGATGCCGTCAACACCGCCACCATCGCGGAGGGCCTACATAGTGCATGCTACGCCGCAACCTACACCTTTCTAATACGGGACACGGCGGTGTCGCAGATTTGGTGGAGGCTGGTGATCCGTGTCGCACCTCGCTCGTGTGATGTGGGCATTCTAGCACCGTTCTTGCAATTATACTTTCCGTGGCTTCGAGACACATGTGTTGGCCTTCGCTGTGGTTTGGCAGCCGTGTACATGCTAGGTGTTTTGATGAGGTGGTGGCGTGTCTGGTCATGTCCGTCCGCCAGGGTACAGTAGGGTAGGGTTCACACATACCTAACGCCATCCTACTGTACCCTGGCGGATCGGCATCACCAGCCACGCGACCACCTCATCAAAACACCTAGCATGTACACACCTGCTAGACCACAGCGAAGGATAATACATGTGCCTTGAATACATGGAAACGAAGATATAAAAAACGGTGCTAGAATGCCCACATCACACGAGCGAGCTGCGACACGGACCTCTTGGCCGTGCCGTTTGCTGCGTGGTCAACGTTCACATTGAAAGAATGGTTAGAGCTTGGAACAATGCGGTACTTTTTCGCATCTACAACCATACAATACCTTTTCCACCCTTACAATAGTCCCCATCCCGATCAGAGGTACCAAGAGTCGTTCTCCAGCGAAAGCGAATCTCATCTGAGCGTGCTCCTGAGGTTATCGGTCGATGCGTTCGACCAGGCGGGCGTCAACTGCCACGACCGCTGTGTTGCGCTTTTCCACAGGTCTCACCCACCGTCACGGCACAAATCCAATTCGTCAACAGCCCGCTCCAAGAACCTACAACAAACCGCCAGCCAGCTGGACCAGAGAGCTAGCACGACACGCCCGTCGATGTCTTTCGCACCGCTTTCTGGAAAAAGCTTACAAAAAAAATTCCAACACCCCACACCTGTGACCTCCTTGCACTTGAGGACCGTCTTGAGGGCCCGCACGATCGGGTCAGTGTCTTCCGTGGAGGGCATGTACTTGGGGCTGCCGTCATCTGGGACGGCGTCCTGTCGCTCGTTCTCGCTCTGCAGCTGCGCCATAATGCGCTCCGCCTCCATCTGCAGTGTAGCGCGGTGCGTGCGTGTCAGGCAGTAGGTTGCCCAGTATAAGTGGCATCGAGATCTCTTGTCACAATCTCAACATGTACATGAACCCGATACATCGATAGTGGTACTACCCTAATATGTAACGTACCCTCTTGCCCCTACATGCCACTATATCGGGACAGCTGCTGTATCTCTATTGGTAGCATCGACCGCGCCTACCCGCTAACCATATGAAAACACGTCGGTCTCAGTGCAGCTGAAAACAGAAGATGCTTGTAAGGGTTACAATGATCTGGGACCCCGTGATGGGGTGCCATGGGAGAGGCTGACCTGCTGTCCGAATTCAAGACCGAAACGGTAGAGAACGAAGAAAACTGCATATGTGTGGGTATGCATACCGTAGGTTGCATAAGATATCACACCCCCTGGACAGATTTTCAAAGCTTGACTTGTACGCGGCAGGGAAAAATAGTGACGGTGCCGAAAATGGAGGAGTCGGAACCGCTGCGTCAAGAGCTTTTCCGAACACGTATCATTTGCCTTCGGCACCCTCTTGGCCGTGGAGTAATCGAGCTTTGAAAATCGGTCCAGGGGGTATGGTATCTTATGCAATATACGGGAGATGACTACTGTATCTTACAAAGCAAACTGCGGTAGAGCATTCATTACCCCGCCGTCCGGCTGATCCATGACAAGACTCAAGACTTGGCGAGGCCAAAAACGCAACAGCAGATTTCGATTATGTTTTGCGTGCCTCTTTGGTTGGCATGGATCGCGTCAATCGGCTGACGAGTGAAAGTTCTTACCCTCGCCGGTACAAACCGCGCAAAACTACAATAGTGTACTGGTTGTAGTATAAGGGCTCCTATTGTACTAGGTTTAGTACGTGCGGCGTACATGAATCATGTGATTTCTTCGAACGAGCAATGAGGGCAAAACCTGTCCATTGCCTGCCTCTCTCCGTGTACAATGCTTTGTCGCGCCCTCTGCTGTGCTGCACACGCCTTCTCCACATCTATTCGCCGACTGTACTTATGGTTGGTATCTTATGCGGAGAGCTGAACCATGTAGCGAGGACGTCCTCCAAAAAAAAAAAAAAAAGAATACGTGCCTAAACTGCAGGTTGGCGCCAACTGCTTCCGTCGCTCTTTAGTTTCGTATGATAAGCTCAGGTCGCTAGTTGTACGTTGTCAGCAGAAGGCTAAGAAGAGGCGCACTGGGGAAACTCGTTGACGTGGATGCGTGGATGGCTGTTGAGTTTTTCTGTCAGATCCGATTCATGCCTTCATGCCACCAGCAGCCAAGGAGGTTGATATTGAGCCGCATGTTCCACCAGCTGAGGATCATGCTAACGATTGTTCAGTGTTGCATGTACAATCTTAATGTGTACACTGAATACCCCCATGACGGAAACACACAAGCCCCCCGGCGCGAACCCAACGCATGCCGCAAGCATTGTTTCGCCTCGAATGGCATTCTCTCTACACGACGGGCAAGTAAGGATAGCGGTTGCGAACCTGTGTTTCGATGTCGAGGTCGATCGCGTCCGGCTCTCTGTCCTCCGCCTCTGCTGCTGCTGCTGCTGCTGCCGCCGCCGCCGCCGCCGCCGCCGCCGCCGCCGCCGCTGGCTCCTCCACCGCTCGAAGTCGCACCAAAGATGCCGCCGACCTCAAACTGTCCCCGCCTTGGAAGCCGTTGCTATTCCATCTCGAGCTGCTGTGCGGTGCTGCGGTTGTTCGTGCTTGATGAACACGTGCTCGATGTGCAGAGGGCCGTACAACCGTGCAGAAGCACGCTACGCGAGGCGCCTGGTTCAAGGTCAATCCCGCCGCAACGGACAGAAGGGAACCTCTAGCAACCATGTCGACTTCGTGTTAGTTGGGGTAGGGTCAGCAGGAGGAACGATGTAAGAGGAGGGAGGGAAGAGAGCAGCTACAGGCAAGCTCACAAAACAGAGCAGGCCGGCCCACAAATGTGTACCCACGGAGCCACCATGGGTATGCCAATTATCAAAATATCTCGCGTCACCCCCGGAACCGGTCTCCCGCGGGTGCTGGGCTGTGCACTATGTACAATTGCTGTGTTGTGTCTTTGCCTTCTCGGCTGGTACACTGTACCCCTGGCGATAGCCTTCGTTGAAACCAGACGGGTGATAGATGACCCGAAGAGTGTCGATTTCGAGTGTAATTGCATAAAACAGTGCTTGCAGACGAACGGGAAAGCGGCAAGACGTTCGTCCCAAGTGTCGAAGGCATCAAGCTGCCTGCTGCTGCTGCTGCTGCTGTAGCAGTTCGCCATGGATCAGGATGTGGAGGCCATCCTGAACGCGCCAGACAGCGACGATGACGACGGCCTCAACGTGCAAGGGGTGAGCCTTGAGGACATCTTGCGGGAGGATGACGGAGGCTACCACGACGAGGACGATCTGGTGGTGGGCCACCATGGCGATGAGGAGGAGAACTCTCCGCACCTGCTTGGAAGGCGAGACACAGCAGAGAGCATTCGATAGCAATGCATAGGGCTCCGATGTTTTGCTTGCGCGTGCGTGCTTGGTGCGAAACACTCACACATGCCCAGCATGCAACCTGTTGTCCCATGGCGGACTTTGTTGCTCCAATGCTGGTTGAAGCAAATCACCCCTCTTCGCTGCTTTTTTCATGCTCTTCGGAAATGACGCAAGACACTTGCATGTAGGAACGCCGAATGTTCGCCACGGCAAAGAGGACGCGCTTGTAATACCTGCTGCTCCGCATGTCAGACGAGGCCCCAGGTTTAGACTACCTGATGTGCACAAAGCTTTTAGGGCTTGGACGACCCCCGAAGAACTAATGATGTGTGGGGGATCTGGTGTTGTGGCTGGCCGCATTTCAAACGTGTGTTCGACTTCCGTGCCTGTACTAAATAGCTAGCCTCGAAGCACAGCAGCTAACGTGTGTCACTGGCTTGGAACGAAACAATTGCGTTATGTTGGTACTGCTGTACAGCAGTCGATGCGTGTAGCTTTGGACTAGCAGCACAGCCGGCGGCTTTAGAGCTAACTATTTGTTGAAGCATCAGGGTGAAGTGAGGGGTCAGGAACGGGACTCCGGAGAAATGTGCATGTACGGGGGGGCGCGAGATAGGATGGGTGCCGATGCCCAATACCCCTGTTGTTGCCACACATGCACACATAGGTCAGATCCTGAGCTAGCTCACCTATGCCCTATAGATCACCATGGAGCATACCCCGGTTACCTATGTCCTTCAGATCACCTCTGACAAACATACCCCGATCACCTATGTCCTTCAGATCATCATTGACCAAACATACCCCGATCAATTATGTCCGTCAGATCACCTCTGGCAAACATACCCCGATCACCTATGTCCTTCAGATCACCTATGTCCGTCAGATCACCTCTGGCGAACCCTCAACATGCTAGGTCACTGTAGCAAGTGCGCCCAAGCCGCTAGGTTGCTGTGCACCGTTAGCGCTAGGTTGCTGTACGGTGAAAACCTAGGTTGCTCTACCGTTACGGTGAAAACCTAGGTCGCTGTACCATTAGCGTTCTAGGTTGCTCGTTAGCGCTAGGCCAAGCCGCGTCACAAGAGGAAGTAAGGGCTAGGTTGCTGTGCGTCGTTAGCGCTAGGTTGCTGTACGGTGAAAAGCTAGGTTGCTGTTCCGAGAATTAGTATACGATTGGGTTCGACCAAGTCGTTAGATCTGCTGGAGGGAGGGAGACTGAGACATACTCCGGATCACGTATGTCGTACAGATCACCTCGGGAAAATATGCCCCGATCGCTATGTCTTTCAAATCACCTCGGGCAAACATACCCCGATCGCCTATGTCCTTCAGATCACCTCTGGCAAACATACCCCGGTCACCTATGTCCTTCAGATCACCATGGAGCGAACATACCCCGATCACCTATGTCCTTCAGATCACCATGGAGCGAACATACCCCGATCACCTATGGCCTACCGATCAACAGGGACATACCCTCAAAAGAGCTAGCTCGATCGGTAGGGATCTGATCTGTCATATGTGTGCACACATGTCATGGATGAAACAACCGAAGAATCGATATGGGTCTGTTGCAATGCCCTTATAATGATCTAATCCACAACACTGATATCGATCCGTTGCAATGCCCGCCCTTACCACAATCGAATACTTTCTCTGACATCCGTCCGTGCCAAATGCCCTTGAACCCACAGCAACGTGAGCCCTAGCCGCGAGCTCGAACGATGGCGAGGCGATGGCGGCGGCGGGCGCGGGGCGGGCACTTCAGCGAACCTCCTCCCGGTAGCCTCCCGAGGTTCAGCTACCGCCGCCGCCGCAGGAGGCCTTCTGAGCCCGCGCTCCTTTGGCGGAGAAGACACCAGCACCAAGAGGGGCGGGGGGGCTGAAAGCGTCGGCTACAGCGACGCTTACAGCGGCGGAGGCGGCGGCAGCAGCACCTACGGCGACGGCAACAACGGTTCCCTGTCGGGGGCGCCGCCGCGGACGGCGTTCCTCAGCCGGGACGAGGTGTCGGAGGACTCCCGGCTGCTGCAGCAGATCCTGAGGGAGAGCGAGGAGGAGATAGCGGCATCGGCAGCGGACCGCGCCAACGGGTTCGGCGGCGCCGGGGGCGGCGGTAGCGGTGGCGGTGGTGGCGGCGCCATGACCAGGCTCGTGTCATCGGTCGGGGGAGCGGGGAGCGACCTGTACGGAGCCGCGGACGACAACCTGCAAAGCCTGGACGTGGACAAGATCATCGAGTCCATGGAGCTGGAGGCCGGCGAGGACGACGACGTCACGGGCAGGGCGGGCGGCGGAGGGAGCGGCATGACCCCCTGGCGAGCCTCGGTGGCGGGGGGGGGGGTTTCGACGACGGCGACGGCTTGGTCGGGTCGTCGACGGTCTTCCACCGCCGACGGTAGCGCTGGAGGCGGCGACGGCGACGGTGGTGCCGCGCCCTCGGGCCGACGAAGCGATCACGGGCGATCCTCTTCTGCTACAGGGACAACGCTCCCGGGGGGCGGGG